ATGAAAGAGGTCTTGATAAACGTGTAAAATTATTTGCGTCATTAATGAGTTTGGCTATAACCATGATTACAAACAAGAGAAATAAAATTGACAGCTTTCTGCAGTCCGATTAATGATATCTTGATTAACGTATAAATCATATGTTGATTGATGAGTTTGGCTATAAAAATAATAACGAAAAAAGAGCAAAATTGACAGTTTTCTGCAAGCTCATGAAAAGCTCTTGATAAACGTAGAAAGTATTTATTGATGATGAGTTTGGCTATATCTATGATAACAAAAAATGAAAAACCAAAATTGACGGCTTTCCGCAGTGTGATGAAAGAGATCTTTGATAAACGTAGAAATCATTTGATTGATTGATGAGTTTTTGATAATTATGTTGAATCCGGATCTCAGTATTACCAATGAGATGTTTTGTTGGTAATTACTTTTTTCTTTTTTTTGTCGTCCACAATCAAAACTCTAAAATTTTCGACGGAACGTTAACTGATTCTGATGTTATAAACCGGGTATCAGGAATCCTGAAAATGACGAAGTACCTATCGTCACATGCAAAGAGAATGCTATAAAATGATGACGTTCGTTGTTTTCTTATTGTCTTGAAATTTTTTTTTATGTTTTTTTTTTATTATTAGCATCTTATTTTCTTACCATTTATAATATTCTTTTATCTCTCATGATTTTACCGTTTATACACGATAACTTACACCATTTGTATATATTATTATTATGGTTTTGATAATAGAATGATATATTTTTATCATTAAATTTCGATAGAATATATTTCAGTTTAACTGTTGAGATTTAATTTTTTTTTCTAAACTTAATTTATTAATTTTATGGATAAATTCTATATCGTTTAATCAATATCTGTTTCGCGTGGCTCGGGTAGAGAGCTCAATATGATTTTGGGTGACGAACATGTTAGTATTTTAATAACTTACCTTCTATACATGTTTTCGATATTAAATTGAATTGATTTTTTCTTTAACATTTCATTTGCAGTTCACCCAAATTCAAGCCGTTGTTCGTGATGAATTAATTGATAATTATTTTTCAAGATCGATAATCGATGAGTGGGTGAGCATTAAAAATTTTGATGTATCACGGGTTAACATCATCTTGAGACCAGTACCGCATAGATTCAAGATTGTGTTTCGTTCGGACACTTTAGTGCAAAGTATTAATATGTGCTCCAGTAGAACCTATTTCAATCTAACTGAGTTTGTGAGTATATTGAGTGGTATTGTTAACCCGAATATTTGCGTTGGTAAGCCTAATTTATGAATTTATTTGTGCTTTTGGAGTTTATTTGCGATTCATGTTCTGACTGTATTATTCATGTGTGTGTTTCATAGATGTTATTGGCAAAATTGTCAACGTGATAGAGTTGGTTTTTGTTCCTTCCGTGGAACATTCTCAAGGAGGATATTTTGAGCTGTACTTTGGTTTACGTGATACTGAGTAAGTCACTATTTTTTTAAAGATTTAAACCAGAATATAAAGTCTTATGACTTCTTCAAATCTTAAAATTAGGTGTATCCATCTAGAGTGTCGTTTGACGGGTGACCTTGCAGTCGAGTTCTATGACTTATGGAAGCGTCGTTCACGTAACACAATGATATGTATTATCAAGTTTGTGAAATTAGAGCTACCACAGGAACATAGGTGGAGATGTACCAACGTTACCGGATGTACGAGGATTATGTTGAATCCGGATCTCAGTATTACCGACGAGATGCTTTGTTGGTAAGTATTTTTTGTTTTTTTCCTGTTTAAAATCAAAACTTTAAAGTTAGCGACTGAACATTCACTATTTATGGTGTTCCAAATCGGATGTCAGGAATCCTGAAAACGACCAAGTACCTATCATCACACGCAAGGAGAATGCCATGGAGTGATGATGTTCGTTGATTTCTTATTTTCTTGGTGAATGGTTTTAAAAGATGATTTATTATTATTTTTTAGCATTTATAATATTATTGAATTTTTTAAATTTCATCATTTTCCATAATTTTATCACACTAAATCCTAAACAATTTACCATATTTTTCTTACACTACCAAGTAACACCTAAACAATCCCTTATTTCACATGATTTTACCATTTATACAGCATTCTTCCCGCGCATGCGCGCGGGCAATCACCTAGTATATATTAAAGAAGAAGTCGAAAGTGCTCACGTTCGCTCTCAGAATATGAGCAGTCGTTTTTGCCCCCACCCTTTAATGAGATTAGATTAGTGAAATTTTTATATTATTAATTCATAAAAAGTAAACGGAAATTAAAAAATGTTAATATACCATATACGTTTTGGTCGTCGTAGGTTCGGAAAAAAAATAAAAAAAAATCGGCCCATCATGTAGAAACCCTAATTTGTGTATTAATTAACAAAAACAAAAGCCCGTCTAAAATATACCGCCTTACTTGAAACCCTAAAACCATCTATTGTAATTTTCTATAAATATTATCGAAACCCTAACAAAATAGGTTTCATAATTGTCGGCTGCAAGCTCCATACATAATGGCGATGGCACCGCGGCGGAGATTATCTCAATTATAATAGTTTAGGTTCACGATGGATAGGACATCGGATTCACTACGTTTAGGTTAAAAGAGAAAAATATCTCCGCTACCATCGCCAAAGAAAATAGTGATGTCTATCTACGTTTATCATCGAAGACTTTTCCAGTAGTTTGACATGGCGATTGTCGATAAAGAAGAACCATCCCTGACGATGGTATCAAACTTTCTCCGGTTTTTTGGTTCATGTTGGTATAGTTCTGTCCGTCATACAGAGGAAAACTTGGTTTTGTCTCTGAATTTCAGCAAGAACAGAAACGAGATCGGATTTAAGGAGATGAGAAACGTTAAAATCAATGAATCGATCAGGTCAGACTAAGTTGGTTTGGAGACGCTTGAGCTCTTTGGCAGCGATTAGACCTTCTTTTCTCATTTCTTTCTTCCGTCTCCATATCGATAGGCTTTGGCTTAAAGCAGCTCTTGATTGGTACGTATGCGTCGAAACAACACTAATTTATCTGTTTCTTGAACCAATTTGGCTAAGAAGATAAAGAACGCAGCTTTGATGAATCAAATAGTAGTGTCTTCGAAGTTACACATATTTCTCTCAAGATATTTGTTTGCACTTACAATAAAGTGGGTTAAATTTTCATAGGTTGTAGAAGAAGGAAGCAACGGGAAACCCAAAAAAAAAGCTTCTTTGATTTCCTCTTATATTGGTTGCTTCTTTCCGGTGGTTTTGTCTATGGACATTAGTTTTTCTGTTTTCCTAGGTTTGTGTCGATCTCAAAATGCAGGATTGATAAACCTGAGTGTTCCTGTTTTTAATTAAAAAGGTATATGTTTTTGCAAATCTCTTTATTAGTGGAGTCGAGACATGTCATGTGATAGTATTAATTAGTTAGATGTATCTTATAATTGCTTAGAGTAAGCTTATTTTTTTTTGAGCTTTTAGGTATGAATAAATTGTAGGCTGAAGTTCTGCTAGGAACTCATTCAACGTGTATGTCAATTATGGTCAATTCCGTAAGGATTCGAAAAAACGTATGTTTTTACCATCCAATGATGTTGCTGTATTTAGTTTACAATCTTCCAAACAGACTTAATCATGGCTTCTTTTGAGAATATAATCTGTGAAGCTTGGACACAGAGAGTTCAATCAAGGTGAAATTTCTACAATTTATTATTAGTAAACTGCAGTAGAACCAATAATTATTTTTAAACGTTATGTCAATCAATCCGATTACTTTATGAATTTTGTCTAATATGATTTCATTCGAGTTTGTTTCCTATCTTTAATATAAATAAATATATTCTTTTATATATTATTATTTTCCTTTCATATTGGTTTAATTCTTAAACATTCGGTTTTTCGGGATAATTGGTTTTCCGCTCCAATGACCGTTCTTTTCGAACGGTAATGAAGAATGACTCCTAAGTTAACATTGCTATGGTTTCTCCCTCAAAAACTTGCAGTAGATGAGCCCATTCCTCTCATACGAAGATGCCTAGGCGATGATTGTTGTTCTTCTCTGGGATGTAAATGATATAGAACTATTGTAATGGAATGGATTTCATCAATCATCATTGTTTAAAAATATTTGGGTCTTTGTTACCTTCGTTATGAGAGTCTGCTTTTGTTAATCGTTGTTATGTTATAATTGAAAACTTTTGATTTTTCATATTTCTAATACATGTGTATGTAGAGAATATCAGTCCATATCAGCAAGATAGGAATTCTCTGGAAATGAAGTCGTAAGGTGGATAGAAAAATAAAGTCCATAATCTTATGTATTACAAAGGTATATTTTGCTTTCTTATCTTTGGAGAAATAGAGGTATGAGATTGAACAGTGTACTAATCAAAAATTTTATTTCATTGGCTTTGACTTCAGTTTGTAATCACGTTAATAAACATAGGGATTCAAAATTATGTTTCTTATATTACAAGGAATCGTTTGAATAATGGAAAATCAAGAACTCGATCATTAGTATGTCATTTGAATGATAAGCGATTATGAAGACTTTATGTTTTATTTCCTTTCATAATTAACAGTAGCATCGAATTCGCTAAGCTTCTAAATTAGAAGTTTTCATATTGTTTAGGTAGTTGTCAGCTGTGAGTTATAGGTTTAAGTGGTGCCAACATGCAGGTCTTGTGATCCTTGAAGCTAACTTGGTGGATATGAGGCCATGAGGGAGCTTTGTAAATAAAGCAATATGCGAGTTGAGGTCAAGGGTCAAGTTAAAGTTTATAGGGTTAGAGCATAGTGGTGTATGATGCTTATGTATTGGAAGTAAGTGACATGACCGAGTTGTAAATACCATGTGATTTGAATTCGTGTTCTATTCCCTCACTGAATATGAAGGGCATTCTTATGTGTATGTCAAGGAAGTAAGGGTAAAACTACCAAGAAAGACATATGAGCAAAATGTGTCACTTCAGATTTATGATGGATGTAGGGGTGGATAAGGTGAAGAGTTAAATATTAGTGTTTTAAAGTTTTTACCTAGATGGAGCTTTAGACATGGTTGAGGACACAGACCTAGATGGATCTTTAATAAACTTTAATTCTCTTTAGTTTTTGCTTGATTGGTTTCATTTGCCCAGTTTACGAAGGATTATCCTTCTTTGATGATCCTCTATTTCGTTGTAAATTTCTCATTCTCAATATCTATATTAATTTTCTTGTGAAAACTTATTTGGATTAGCTTTTCATTAATTAAAAACTACCCTTAATGAATCGATATAATGCAATTAAGGAGTCTACTTGTGCAAGTATTATAATTTTGTTAGGTTCAGAATTACGGTGATGATAAGTTTGGTTATAAAAGTATAATTTTTGATGGTCACGATTTGGTGAATATTGTAGTTGTCAAAGCTTCAAATGTATACAGAGGAGATGAGAGACAAGAGGAAAATCATAAGGGAGAAGATTCATAAGGTCAACCACTTTCACAAGAAGACATGTACCAATGTGTTAGTCTTATAGTGAAGAGTGTCATGTTTTTAATTTATTATTAAGTAATTCATGACTGTAATTCTTTCCATTGAATGAGTTCGACATGTTTACTACGACAACCAATTTATGACCTTACGATGGAAGAACAGATCAACCAAAGACGCCACAATCCACATGTAACCACCATGATCGATATTACTATAAACTTAATGAAATTAATATCGGGAGTGTTGTCATTCACAACAAACGAAGTCCTCAATGTATTGATAAGTTTGGAGGAAACCTTAGAAGTGGAATAGTTTCTCTCAATTTTATTCATTAGCCAATAGACTTATTTATACAAATATCATAACTTGATTAGCAAGTTCTTTACATATTTGATAATAGGAAATCTACCTATTTAATAATAAAAATATATTATACAAATGTTAACTTTCCTTTCAAGTCGATGTCGTATCCCCGAGATCTCCTAACACCCTCCCGCAAGCTCATACGTGGTAAAGACGTATGAGATTGGACAATCATCTTCACGGTCTTTATACCCACTATAGGGTCATCAATGGTGTTTATACCTCGCCAAAAGGTCATCAATTCGGTGGAAAATACTGTAGTAGTTGTGTATCTCCATCGTCTTATGTCACCATGTGAATTGAACGAACTCATCAATTGGTTCATGCTCATAATTCACAGCAACATCATATCATCACCTCCATCGGATCCGTATATATCCGTTGGAGTTCTTCATATTTATGGCTTCATCTTCACAAGAAAAAATCACTGTTTCCATAGCATCGTTGGAGTCGTCGTTGACAAAATCTCTTGAAAATATCATAACCATCTTCATCAACGTTGCGAATATCATGTGAGAACCATCTCATCATAGAACGAACCAATCAAGTTCATGTTCATATTCATGCAACGCCAAATTACGAAGTTATTAACGTCACCAACATCATAGTCTTCATTGACTTTTTCTTGTCACCAAATCTCTGTGAACGAGACAAAGTAACACCATCTTCTTCTTCATTTTTTTTTTTTTTCTTTTTTTTTTTCATAACAAATAAAATAAAAATAAAAGAAAAATCAATGAAGTGTGTTTGATTTTCCTAAACAAAGAAACGAAGATTAAAAACTTCTTCTTTTTTTTTCTTTTTTTTAAACGCGGAAGCTAACGTAAGAGAACTATAACCCACATGAATAGGATCAAGGCTCTGATACCATGATAAGTTTGGAGGAAACCTTAGAAGTGGAATAGTTTCTCTCAATTTTATTCATTAGCCAATAGACTTATTTATACAAATATCATAACTTGATTAGCAAGTTCTTTACATATTTGATAATAGGAAATCTACCTATTTAATAATAAAAATATATTATACAAATGTTAACTTTCCTTTCAAGTCGATGTCGTAATCCCCGAGATCTCCTAACATGTATTGTCATTCACAATGACACGGTCTTTGGACGAGTGCATGTTAAAGATTTCGATTTTTATTTTATTTTTTTTGTTTTCGAGATGTTTTTTGTCTTTACCTGTTTGAACTGTATATTTTCTATAGCACGTATGCCAACTGGATAATGTTTCACGATATATATCACCCTTTGCTTTGGTCAGTTACCTCATAAAACATGTAAACGAGCTAACGCTCAAACGAACAAATTTATAAATACATCAACGTATTCAAAAAAAAAATGCCGCCTTTGACGAGGATCGACGATCTTACCCCTTATGATAGAAATCGAGTCATTTGTGTCAAGGTTTTGTTTTTTTGGTTTGAGAATTTTGGGAGGCCCGACCAGAAGTTAGAGATGATTCTTGCGGATTTAGAGGTTAAACACTACTTTCACGTTCAGAATTTTGTTTTTATCGCGATTTGCCTTACAAACTTTATGTTTATCTTATTCTTATTATTTAGGAGACTAAGATTGAAGCTACTATTACCGGTGGTCCGTTTGATCATGATAATATAACTGGCTTGAGGGAATACACATGGTACTTTCTATCTAATTTTTTGGTTCTGTACTTGCCGGAGTTGATGAGTAACACGTCCAACATGTTCCGTATATGGTTCCATCGACCAACTAAAATGACCAGCACGTATGAGCGGTCACCAAGTAAGTGTATTGAGCCTGAAAGATTTAGCCGCATAAGGGGATGGATGATCCTGACCGAAATTCCGATTGGTACGTTTTTTGATTTCAAATTTTTTTTTGTTTGGTTCTAACAAAACAATGGGATAGCTAATAAATCGAATACTTTAAATCTAGATACGGTGGGATTTATCGTTTATATCGACCGCCTTATACGGATCCCTTATGTTTCTGGCCAATACGAAAGGGGTAGAGTATATGTAACTGTGTCTACTTCGTCTTAAAGAATCATAGGTGAGTTTATTTTTTAATTTGTATGCCAAAATTCATTTATTTATGACATTTGGTTCTGGTTTGAAAATTAATAGGGGATTGAGATTGAGATGTTGCGCGATAGGAGATTTAGCCAACTATTTTATGAGAGTATGGGTAAACCGAGAATATGGTCATTCGTACCTTCGTGATCCTGTATTTTGTGTTTTGAGGTTTTGGCATGTTGAAGAGTATAAAGGTATTGACTTATATATATTCATCGTATTTTCCAACAAACAAAATTTAAGCCGGTTATTATCTTATTTTCTCTCATCGGATTAAATATTTTACAGGAAAACCATGTCTCATGAATAGGGTTGGATGCTCTAGATTTTATCTTGACCCGGAGTTTGACGAACTTGAGGAGATCAAAGAACGGTAATATCAGTATTTCTAATCATATATTTGTTGCATATACGTAATTCATATGTTTAATGATCTGTTAAAATTTTATATATATAGTACACTCTCCACCGCTTATGCTTGGACCGCTACGAATTCAAGATGTTCCGATTTGGATAATTGAGTGATCATGGAATTTTCTACAAATATTATAAATGAGTCTTGTGTTGTTATGGGTTTTAAGGAATGTATAATTACTTATTTTTAGAGGCAGTATGCTTCATCTTTTGTAATATTATTGTCGAATTTTGAAATCTCATAACTAAATTTTTATCATCAAAATTTCAATGTTTCCCGTAGTTTTATGATCTTGAAGAGATCAAGAAACGGTAATATTCAGGGTTTATCATGATATATTAATTGGATGTTCGCATTTGTTTCGGATAATAACCTAGCAAGATTTATATACATATTACACTCTTGATGGCTTTTACTTGGGCTACAAAGAATGCAATATATTCAGAGTCGGATGATTGAATGGGTCATGGAGAAGTCTACAAAAATATTTGATTAGTTTGGTGTTCTTATGAGCTATAATTGATGGACAAATCATTTATAGTAGACACGTTATGTTTGATCATTTGTAATAACAAAATCGTATTTTAAAGTCAGTAAACTATTTTTGATCTTCATAATTTAAATTTTTTTTTGAAAAATCATCTTACCGCGTAAGGCGCGGGTAACTACCCTAGTACATATAGTTAAACATATTGTATACAGTTTTATCTTCACAATTGTACATTGCGATATTAACATTTTATTAAAAAAAAAAAGACATTGTGATATTGCGTTGTAAGCGGCTGAAAGAGATTCTTGTCGACTAATTTTTTTTTTCTTTTGCCTTTATGTCTAATGAATTTTTTTTTTAAATAAACAATAATTTTTGGAAAATAATAGGTGAATTGCACGCAAAATCTATGGTCGAAAATAAGGATGCTCACAAATGGTACATTGTCGAAGGTCTATGCTCAAAATATCCGGACTGCAATAAGCATTGCAAAGAAAACAAATTTCCATTAGGTGGAAAATGCCTCAAATTTGGTGTTAATATGATGTGTACTTGTATTTCTACATAATCTCGTTTATAATATTTCATGAGTATTACAATATTTTAAGTAAAAAAATGTTGCAAAATAAATTTTCAATAATAATATTATTTAATCAATATCAATTCTTATATAAAAAATTATGCTAATGCATTATGATTATAGTTCATATACAAATGTATAACTTAAATGAACATATTTTCATAACATAATTTGAATAAATTGATGAAGTTTAAAATCGCTCTCTCAGACTTTAAATCAAATAGTACAAACCAAAAAAAAAAAAAAAAATAACGGGTATGTAGTAAGAATCTACACCTATGTGGTATCTCTATACTATTAAAAGAGAAGTACAAATGAAAATGGGTCGGGTTAAAATCAGAAAATTGACCCGAAATTCTGAAATCGGATCTTTGAATTTTTTTTGGAATATAAATTCGAATTAATAATGAAAAATCGAAATAAAATCAAATTTTTATGGAAATCAAATAAAATCTGATTGTACTTATGGTAACTAATAATAAAAGCATATTCCGAACAATATTATATATTAATTACGTATAATAAATTTGTTCATACATTTTTGGGACTAATTTCATAACAATCAACGTTTTTGTCATTAATTTCGCTCATTTTAGCCAATTATCATTAATTGAAAGATATTTTATTTGCTTCTAAAGATTTCTAGAAAATTTATCACAAATAACCCATCTGTTTTATAAATTAAATTGATATTTTTATTTTGGTCGTGTAAATTAAATAGATATTTTTATTTTGGTCGTGTAAATTAAATAGATATGAAATCCATGTAACTAATTTTAATTTAATTAGATTAAATCGAAATTATGATATTTTCATACCTATAGCTTACCAAAGAAGTTTAATTCAATTTATAAAGATTTCTTGAATATGATTTTAGAATTATTCAACAAGATGATAAGTATTTATTAAATTTTGTGAATCATGAAAAATAATAATTAATTTTTAATCATTATACTTCATCTTTCAATCTCCCATCTAACAAATAAGATACATATTCTATTATTACTATGTCCAAACTTCATTTTGTTGTATGACTAAATAATATTTCCATTAGAACTGTCAAAGCGAGTTGATTCGTCATGTTAAGTCCGTTTTGCGATAGACAAAAAATATTTTGACTTGTAGTTAGTCGGTCCGCACGACCCGCGGGTAGCATATATGAAATACAAACCCGTCCCGCGAATGTATGCGGATTTGCGGGATTATCCATGGATTTTGTTTAAATAATTTTAAAGTAACCAAAATTTAAAATACTACTAAAATAAATAAATAAATCAAAATACTATTAAAAGTTTGTTTAAATTACCACATGTTGAATAAATTATAATTTTATCAATAAATACTAATATGCGGGCTGATCCGCCAACCCGCGGATGAAAACCGATTAAACCTATGACCCACTGCGAATTAATCCATGTGGCCCGCTTATTTGCGGGTTTAATATATTTTCCCAAATCTGCCCCATAGTGAGATGATGTGGGCTCGACCCGCGGTTTTTGACCTATTTTGACTGCTTTAATTCCCATGAATCGTCTAATTTTAGAATTTTAAAACACAAAATTCTATTTTGTAAATCATAATTAATACGATGGGTATATTTATAAACAATTTTACATTTTCTCTACAATTCGTTATTATGAATATTTATAAGTATACTACACGATTCGTTCTACTAAAAAACACACACAATATTAAACGTAACGTATGTAAACCAATATTCTCCCACGGTGGACCGCGGGTCCGATCCTAGTAAAGTTTAAGATAATACAAACAACAGCATTATAACCCAGAGCTTAACTTCCCAAAATTAATCACATAGTGTAGATATAATGACTAACCAGTTTGTTAAACTTCTCGAAATGGATCGAAGAGAAGAAGCCGGAGGAGAAGCGGAGGGAGCAAAGGCAGGATCAGGATATGCAAAGACATCGTCGGTTTCTGGTTCGGGAAGTGTTGAAGAAGAAGGGATGGTTTGAGTTAGGCCTGGGCATTCGGATTTCAAATCGGATTCGGATCGGATATATTCGGATTCGGATAATTCGGGTATGAGAGTTTATTATCCGTTCGGATTTTATGATTTTTCGGTTCAGTTTCGGTTCGGATATATTCGGATTCGGATAATTTGGGTAGGAGAATTTATTATCCGTTCGGATTTTATGAGTCATCGGTTCGGTTTCGGTTCGGATAGGTGTCGGATTCGGATCGGTTTTTGGGAAAAAAAAACTTAAAAATAGTTCAATGTTAATAAAAATTGGTTTAATCTTACTAAAATTTGGTTAAATTTTGCAAAAATATGTATAATTTTAACAAATATAACTAAAATTTTTCCGAAATCTAGGATATTTAGGATATTTTTGTTATTTGCTATAAAATTACAACTAAATATAACTAATATTTTTGGATATATAATTTTTATTTCCGGTTTTCGGATATCCTTTCGGTTTTCGGTTCGGATCGGGTTCGGTTCGGGTAATTTGGATAGGAGAATTCATTATCCGTTCGGATTTTGTGACTATTCGGTTCGGATTCGGTTCCGGATTTTTCGGATCGGTTTCGGATCGGTTTTCGGATTTCGGGTTTTTTGCCCATGCCTAGTTTGAGTACTAGAGGAGAGATGGGATCGAATCTACACAGACGAAATGGAGAGGTAAAGTCGGGAAGGAAGAATCGGCGGAGGTTTCTAGGTTTTCTCGCGAGAGATGAGAGAAGAATAGATTAAATGATTTTTTTTTCTCAACCAATCAAATGCTGCCATGTCACCCGATACTCAGTATCAAAGGTACGGATCATGCCCAAATACATGTTTTGGTCCATTAAAAAATGATTTTTGGGCTACTATACTCAACAAAACTCACCTATGTACATGGTCTAAGGCTTTGTAGACCTTGCCAAAAATGAATAAAAAACAAGGCAACAAATTTTATGAAATCACAACCGGAAATTCGAGTTTAATCTCTCCAAGATTGGCGTTTGCAATTCGTATGTTTCATTTTGAAAGGGGAGATAGTGTTAATTCGTATATTCTGCGGACCATATCTTCAATCTCTCCCCTAATACAAATTAGCTCTATATGTCCGCTACACGGGTGAGTCTCGATTTGGACACAAAACTGCTCCCAACCCGCAGTGCCATTTTGGCTTATTAATTTAACTCTGTTTGTGCTAATGGATCAATCACAACTCTAGTTATCGTTTCATGTGAAGCACCTATATGTCTTCTAACTTCATCTACGAGTGTGATTGTCTCATTTAGGCATTTCAACAAACATGTTATGTGCATCAACCAAAAGCTCACGTCAATGGCAAAATCAGCTTATGGGAAACCAAATGTGATTCAAATTACAACAATTCCAGACGCAAACTATACTAAACAACACAAAAGATCCCGAAATTTCCAGAAAAGAGAAGAACTTTTATTATAAAACCTTAAGCAATGGAGACTTTAGCACCAGCTTCTTCAAGAGTCTTCTTAGCTTCTTCAGCTTCATCTTTAGTCACACCTTCTTTAAACTTCTTGGGCAATCCTTCAATTAGCTCCTTCGCTTCCTTCAACGCCAAGCTAGTCAAAGCCCTAACAGCTTTAATCACTGCAATACGAGAACTACTCGGAACTTCATTGATAACCACATCGAACTCGGTCTGTTCTTCAACTACAGCCGCCGCGCCACCGTCGGCCGGAGCTGCTACAGCTGCAGCAGCAGGAGCTAAAGAGAGTGGGGAGACACCGAACTTGTCTTGGAGATAGTCGACGAGGATACGAGCTTCTTCGAGGGTAAGGGAGGAGATTTCGGATCCGATTTTCTCGATTTTCTCAGGAGCTTCGACGGCGGCGATAGGACGGAGATGGGTTGCACGGTGGGTCAATGTGGAAGATGAAGCACCACCAAAGCGAGAGGGGAATTCGATTGTGGTGGTTCGAGAAGGGAAGTGGTTGGTGGAAGCGAGAGTAGGATAAGATGAGGAACGGATTGTGGTTGCGATTGAGAGAGTCGTCGACGCCATTGTTTCACTCTTTGGCTTTTCTCTGGATTTTGCTTTCTGTGTTTTTCGCTCTCTCTGTGTGTTTGATTGGGATTGTAGGAGGAAGATGAAAGATGAGAGGATAGAAAAATGATGGATAAGGGGTATTTTCGGGAATAAAATAATGCGTACGTTTGCTATCATGCACATATATACACATAAATGAGGTTGTATCGTTTGTATGTTTACGAAAATACCCTTGACGTCGAGAAGTTGAAGAAATAAAAAGGGGCGTTCCGAGAATCGAACTCGGGACCTCTCGCACCCAAAGCGAGAATCATACCACTAGACCAAACGCCCATGTTGCTGTAAACTTACTTTTTAAAAATATTAACAGGGAGTAAGTTTTGTCCATAACATGTAAATTTCTCCATAACAGTATAACACCATGTCATTTTTTTTTTTTTTTCGTCTGAATGATTCATATGATAAAAGAACACAAAGTTCACAATTACAAAAGGGACCGAGGGCAATCAAACTACAAAAACTCATTACAATTAAGTAAAGCATTTATCAAATTCAAACACATTCTGAAGCCAAAAAGGGTAGTCTTGAGCTACATATGATTGCGATCGGTCCTCCATTGTGACACTCTTTGCTATTAGGAAAGCACCTTGATTAGCTTTGCGGTCCTCTAAAGCAATTTTCCAAAAAGGGCTGTAGGAAAGGGCGAGAATGAGAGCTTCGGATTGAGCTTTGAAGCTAGGCCATGCCGCAGGTCTAGAAATAGCACCTAAAATCAACTTGGACTCCACATCAAAAACAACACGAGGCACATGTAAGCTTTTCATACTCTCCATAGCCCATAGACAACCTTGTAAGTCAGCCTCATCTTTAGACAAAGATTGCCCAAAGGAATGTCTGCTATGGAGGACGACATTACCAAAAGAGTTTCGAAGAACCCAAGCCACACCACACAAACCTTGAATTTTGTCCCAAACAGCACTTACATTACACTTTAGCCACGGTTTTGCAGGAGGGCGCCAATTGGCAGATTGAGAAAGCACAATAGATGAAGAACTGTTCTCATGCAAGGCGTCAAACTCCTGGGCTAGAAA